ATAGGGGTTGAGAGGCAGCACTCTCAGAACAAATTTTGGTTTTAAGGATATTTATGAAAAAAAAATCTCTACAATTTTACTTATAAGTTAGCCCCCCACCCCCCGCCTGAAAATTAAAGCTAGTTCCACCCCTGTTTGTGAGCCAAATATTGGGTAGTCAAACCATAATTTGAGTATTGGGTAAACATATATAGATGCTGATTTTGGGCTTAGCCAATAAACATAAATGTTTTTGTACTTTTTTTTTTTTTTGAAACTCATATAGAGCCTACACGTTGATTAAGAAAGATAATACAAATCCTTAGAGGGAACAATAGCTAACTAACACTCAAAGAGCTACAATCAAAAAATAAAAAAAATAAAAAGATCTTAAGAGTCAAATTTCCATAAATGTCTTTGTGCAAATAAATCTCTATAGTTTTACTTTTCTTCTAGTTACATATTATTTCACTTATATAATTCATGTTTAAAATATTAATGTGGAGAATATTATAATGATATAATAATATCATGGTAAATTTATTTGAGTAAAATTTGTTCGTCATGCTAAAATTGTTTATAGTCACTCTTTCACTATAGTTTATTTATTTTCATCATTTTTATTAATTTGTGTTTATTTGAACACTAAATTTAATAGTGTAGATGATGTTATTTTCTTTGGAGTTCTTATGGACTGGTTCTTGGATGGATAAGATTGGCTGGATCATTATAACCTTGACCTTAGTCTTTTTGCAAGGCTCTTTTATCCTCCTTAGTGAAGTTTGCTATGAGGATGTGCTTTTTATTGCTTCTTTTTATTTGGCCTTTGGATGATTGCTCCAAGATGTGCTATAATGTTTGAGGTGTTATTTGGAGTATCTTTTATAGTTTGTTGATGATATCTTTTGCTTTTTCTATTATTATTATTTTATTTTTTTTAGTTTAAACCCACAGAGGGGCCTGCGAGTTGATTAGAAAAAACGGTTACAAAGTCCTTAGAAGGTCCGACCAGATGACTAATGCTCCTCGGAGCTACAATCCAAAAAAAAGAAAAGAAAACCTATGATCCGGTCAGTCCTTATCCTACGATTACAAAAATAATACCAATAAAAGATCGGGCTCATAAACAACAGCTCCCAAAAAAGGAAGAACCAGGATATATCATTCAGGACGAACTTCCTGCAAAAAATCGCAACCAAATGGAAAAAAGAGTGCGGGATCAAATATCTGTGTACCTTGTGATCTTCCAAATTTTCCCGAAAACACCAATTGTTTACCCTGCAAAAAATTCTCCACAAATAAAGATTAGAAAATAGATGATTAGCCATGCTATCTAAGGGAGTGCTAATACTAAACACACCCCAACCGAGAACAAACATGAAAAATCGAAAGAAGCAGCTGAACACCATTAGCCCCCCAACAGAATTAGTAGAGAACCCAGAAAGAGCCCACAGCCCCGCTCAAAATTGCTCACTAAAAACAGAATCCTCCTTACACCAAAAGAAATGCTCATCAAACAACTCCTCCCCGCTCTCAACTAAACAGCAGACAACCCCAAAGGAAAAGACCCAACAAACCAGCACCAAAAAATTACCAAACCCACCTGCAACCTTCAACCCCAAAGAAACCAAGCAGTAATTAAAAGACACGACCAACAGTCATTAACACCTGCAACCAAAAGTATAACTAAACACCAAAACCCTCAACACCAAGACACGCAAAAGAAGCAAAACCAGAAAAGCAACCCAGACGAACCACCCAGCCAAATCAAAACACCAGAAGTGAAACACAAAACGAGCCAGAGACACCAAAAACTCCCACCACCAGCCCAACTTAACTACAAACATAAGGCACCTCTAGCTCCTCAAGTTTCAGAAAACCCAACAACCTCTTAGGACAATTAGTCTTAGTGAAATCCTGGATATCCATGAGATTACAGCCAAACTGGGCAAGCCAAACAGAACAAAGATTATCCCCATTTAACAAAGTAACAAAAGAATAATTTAAACCCGCTAGTACAGTTAATCTTTTGCTTTTTCTATACTACTTTTGCTTCTCTATATTTTGTAAGATTTTTTTTTTTGCGGGGATCAGGGGTTGCTATATGG